TAAAGAGTATTGTAAAAATATCATATCAAATATGGGATTTCATTGAATTAGTGTACGTATATGTTAGTTGCGATCCCTAACTCGCCAGAAAGAAGTTGCAAGAATTTATAGGATTTTACCAGAAAGCGTTCCCGTACTCGCTTCTCTGGCAAAGTAGGTGAAAACGGGAGAGTAAAATCGGCACTCTCTTTGTTAGAAGTTGAATTTTTGTTGGTAAAAATTTGTTCGTCTTGCAAAAAATTTGTACGAATTTGTACGAATTATCATGATTTTTGCCCAAATCGCGTTCGTGGAGACCAAAAAATTATACATCACTCAAGAACTGAGAGCGCAAAGTGACAGTTCTCCTGATAGAAGTTGCAAATTCTTGCTGAAAAAAATTTAGCCAGCAAGAATTTTTGTCTACGATAGTTTGAATAAATAAGTTCGTTAAATTTAAAAATTTATAAACACGAGCGATTTTTCTATGAAAAAAGGAAGTAAATACTTGTTAATATAATTAATTTAGTTAGTCCAATTGAATTGAACTTAACTCGGCTGAAAAAAATTGTATTCACAATCGGAATGCAATTGTAACCAGAGTCGATTTAAGAAACCCGGATAGTATGATAAAGAAATTGAAATGTACGTTAAAGAAAGTCAGATCAACAAAAAAAATATACATGTGTATCCTATTTTTGTCCATCTGAAAGAATTTTAAAAATTCTATAAAAATATAATATGTTTGAAATGCAACCGTGGACACCAGCTGGCAGGGAAACTTGCAAATTCCTGCAAATTTGCGTTCGTGCAGAAATTTGCAAGTTTCTCAGCATGAGAGAGAATTTGAGAGAATTTTTTCTTACTCTCTGATATTTTGAGTGTTCGATAATTCTTGCTGAATTTTCGACGCACAAACCTAAAAACTGTTAAAGTGTCAAACCATCAGCTGTTCAAATGATTTCAAATTTGAATAGGCCAAAAAACAAAAGTGCATTTGCATTTTCACCTTATTAAATATATCCTAGCGAAGAAATATCAAGTTTTGTAAGTATTTTTGTTAATTTGCTACAGTTTTACCAGTTTTTACCCGGAAAGCGTTCCCGTCCTTTTTGGGTTTTATCTCTTTCTCTAAGAGCAATTTTGGTTTTTGACAGTTTTATAGGTTTTATCTAGACAAGTTGAGGAACGAAACTAATATGCTGAAAAAGGCCTGGCTATATGCATGAAAAAATCGAGTATCAGCAGTTAGATATACATAGGAATTACAGGTATTATAATCCTAAGCGATGGCCAGGCGAGGCTCACGGCTCTTTATGGCATTGAGAAGCTTAACTCCCTTGTTAACTACAGTCATATTCAGCTAGCATGGGTACAAGGCTAAAATGTAATACAGGGTGTATCATGAAGACCTTGTCTTCTATAAATAAAACACAACAAACTTTCTTTTATTTCATAATATTTTTAGTCTATGGCCCCCACGACTCTTCTGGAGAAACAGCATGCGCATATACATACACTTGTGGTTAGCTAAGTTAAGTAACATTTTGACCAGTTTTGGCTATTTTTCTTTCGCCTATTTAATGTTTATAATTTTTTATAAAAGTATAGCACATTACATAACCAGAACCTCATAAATCCACATTTCAAACATCGTACAAAACTTATAAAAATTCAAAAAACTTTAACAATTTCTCCCAAAATTTTAAAACTTTTTATTCAGAAAAGTTTAGGTATGCAGTTTTATAGCCCATTAAACTTAAGTAGGTAAAAGTGAAAATTTCAATCGCGTTCAGTTTTAATAATTGTTTTGGCTGGCGGTGCTAGGCATTTTCTTCTATGTAAAAGGCACTATCCTAACATAAAACGTGAGTGAATTGAACTCCTGCTTGGCTTCTTATATTTTTTAATAACTAATCTTTAATATAGACCACACTAAAATCTCCTTTTCGTATAAAAATTCGTACGTGTCCCACCCGTGACAAACGATGTCCCGCCCGTGACAGAGGAATTTCGGATTTTTTGTGTAATAAAGCGATAATTTTTGTTGTAGTTTTGCTTGCTTGTATTCGTGGTTCTTAGTTTTAGAGTCTCCGTAAAATATATCTGCTCCAAAAAGCAGGCTATTTTTTGTCCCACCCGTGACAGAAGAAATAAATGAGGTTTCTCCATATAGTAAAAGTAAGCTGGAATTTTTTTCGTATTTTGTAATAGCTCATATAATAGTCAATTGGGTGTAGCTTTATCAAAATGTAGAATTGTTGAGTACTTTATACTTAAATCTAAACAAGAGAGACAATTTTTTCAGTACAAATTACTTTTTTAGCATGAAATATCAAAATTTAGGCACCGAACTGTATAAAGAAGAAAATGTAACTTTTTTTACATTTTTATTGTGGCGTATTAATATTTATTTCAATAGTATTATTGAGCTTTGTACCACGATTTGTTTGTTAAGGCTGGTTTTCATTAAGTCAAATTCAATGGCCATTGTCGTCAAGTAAGTGAAAACACATTGTCAAATGGAACTATGGTATATCAATTGATTTAGATCAGAATAGGTCTTCAGTCGTGTACATATGCTGATAAATTGGCTATCTCTCCATTTTTTGGTCCATAATATAATCGTTAAAGATATGAAAAAAGAAGATAAAGTTGTGTCAAAATATGTTGACAAAATTTGATGTCAAAATATGGCATAGCGAAAACCAGCCATTAGGAATAATGAAAAAAGAACAATAAAGCTTAAGCGGTAGAAGTTATAGCAGCTATTTCGGAGATCACCGGAGATCTCTTCATCTGACTTCTTTTGTTTCCAGACTTTCAGCAGGGATCGAACCCGCATCATCGACGTGCAAAGTCAGAAGTGTTAAAGATCAAGTCAAAGCAAAAAGTGCTCGTGGCAAAAACCTACGGACGATTGTCGTATTAACAAAGCTAAAGGGCAAATTTCTAGCTTCCCAACAGTCGGTTCGCATAACTGCAGGTCGTCGATGATTATAAAGTACTTGGAGGCACATTAAAATCTACAGAAAATGCAAGATTTGTGCAAAACGACTGTTACTGATCCGGTTTCCATCGATGTTTACAGAAACGTATTTAATAGAAGCTCAAAATTTGTAATTTTACTGACCTAAAAAAGAACTTTGTGACAAATGTGCGTTATACAAAGGGAAATAGGTAGCTACTCAGAAGATAAAATAAGAGCTCAAGAAAGGCACTTGGAAGGAGACATACTAGCGAAAGCAGACATTCAAAATAATGTGATTTTTCACGCTTGCCTGGTTATCAGGTTATCTGCTTAAAAATACATTTTCTGTAGTGTATTTTATTGTTGTACAACCTGATAACCAGGGAAGCGTGAACAACCACAATGATACAAATTTAGCTGTTAATATATATACACAGCTTTTGAGAATTTGTGACTTAATCTCTAACAACAATTTCCAAAACCCACCGAAGATAACATGCGACAATCTGTTATCCCAGCGACGAAATTAAATTAGTAACTTCAGGTTTGCATAAATGAAAAACTAATTTTCCTAAATGATGACGTTTAAGTAAAAAAAAAATGACAAATAAAAAATATTCAAATAATATCAGAACCTATAAAAAGTACAACTTTGACTTGTCTGAGTTTTTATTTCGATCTTGAACCTAGCACTCAAGAATTCAGTTTGTGATTTTTTAATTAAACTAAAAGCAATGGGAGTATGTGGAGCTCCATAAACATGGAATTCAAGCACAAAACATAGACATGTACCAATTAATGAGTTATGTAATACATATATATTAATTTTATTTTACAAATACATACCGACTTTCCTCTGAAGTGCATCTAAACTTGCTGCTACTCCTCTTACTTTAACGAAGCGATTGCTTTTATTATGGTTATGTGCAACTTACATACAAGTATACACGCAGAAATACTACCTGCCACTTCGAGTAGCGTAGTTGTTCGACATTAAAACCAATAAAATACTTGCAGGCATACATTTTAGCTAATTTTGTAATCACTGCATTCAAATTAAGATCAATAACTTTTTCTTACTAACTTATTTTAATCAAATTACATTTTTCACTTGACACTTTGTGGTGCTACCGATTAGCATTTTTCCATGGCACGTCCTGCCCGCGACTCGACACTGCGGGTGGCGTCCTTTTTCTATATTAAAACCAATGAAATACTTCCAGACATACATTTTAGCTAATTTTGAAGAACACATATTCACTGTATTCACATTAAGATGAATAACTTTTTTTTTCACTAGCTTATTTTAATCGAATTGCATTTTTCACTTAGCGCTTTGTGGCATTTTTCTATGGCACGTCCTGCCCGCGACTCGGTAGCGCCCTTTTTCTATATTAAAACCAATAAAATACTTTCAGACATACACTTTAGCTAATTTTGTTGAACACATATTCACTGTATTCACATTAAGACGAATAACTCTTTTTTCACTAACTTATTTTAATAAAATTTCACTTTTTCACTTGAAAATTTGCAGTACTACCGACGGACACGGAAATTGCCGCGAAACTAGCATTTTCTCAGAGGAAGGAACCCACATTACAGGGTTGCATCGCATTTTTTCAATACTATACAGTGGTGGATTAAAGAATTAGAACAAAAAATTTGGTTCTTTCTGACTGCCGGACAGGAACTTATAGAAAGGTGACCGCAAATACTGTTGTTCAGCAAATTAAATTGGGATTATTTCTCTTTCATAAAAGTTTAATTGCTTGCTTTTGGCTATTTTAATTTCTTTAAGAAAAAAATCTGCCTTAAAAATAATTGCATTTGGTCAGCGACTGTAACCAACAGACGGCGCGAGGGGCGTGTGGATTTTGTGGAACTTAGTGATGACACTTCAATAACCTCAAAAGCGGCATAGCGAAAAACAGCTGTGATTAAACGCGCAAAATTTCGGTATAGTTGGTCGTTTTTCGGCAAAACTGGTTATTTGTTATACCTGCTGTTTTAAATTACTAATTATTGACGTATTAATTACATGTAAGCAATGCAGTGTTTACAAAAATATTGGTGAGCTTCTTTGGACTATATTTAGTTGACTTGAATTAAACGAAACTTTCATGCCAGCGGCTCGCCGAACAGATTGGTGGAACGCGGCCTGGATTTGCATCTGCGTGCAAAACGCGCCAAAGATTGTCTGCGTTGGGGTTCTTTGAATGTAGTGTTGCTAGCGATACTGCTTTTCGACATATCTAATCAGTGTCCATATGCGTACTCCAAATGGTACTATGTAGAATATTTGGCGGCTGCGCTATCGGGACTTGGAGCATTTTCATGCTTCTTAAAGTACTTTCTCTACCTATTCCATACGAATCCAATATTGGGTACAAAGGAACAGAAAAACTTACTCAAGTTTGATGAGTGTGGTAAGTAGCGAGGCATTTATCGACAGAAATATGTACATATGCATACATGTATTGCAATCTATTTGGCTTGCAGATTCCTCATTTGTTGTTACACCGCCAGCGCAAAGAAAAAAGCAATCATGCGATGATTTGGCGCCTAGTCAAATCAACAACACTCTTCTAAGCTGGCATTCATCGTTTAACGACTGTAAATAAATAGATTTTTTATGTTTATTTGTTATTTATTAATGATTTCATGCTTGTATAGCTCGCGCTGCAATGTCTCACAACTGGAGTTACAGCCGCACTACGCCGCCACGTACCAGCTTTAGCCCGCAGCAACAAACGGCACCGCATAATGCGTCTTGGAATTCTTCTATGGGCAACAGATCACTCACGCTTCCAGCAAATACTAGTGGTTTAAACAATACCAATCCCATGATCGAATCTTATCCTAAATACAGGCGTGAGGAGCTGATAACCGATAAAGAGACCCTAAAACAATATCTAAAGTAAGTTAAGTGGGCAAGTAATATTTTATCTACTTTGAATATCGCCTACTTAGTTACCAACTTCCTTTAATTGTGTAGAGAATTTTCAATGCATGAGCAAAGCATGAACGACACAGCCGATGTGAGCCATCACTATAATACAGGTTCAGTGAATTCATTCTGGAACTATTGCAATACAGCAGCAAATATGCTAAAAACTTCCATTTATCAACTGGCTCCAATGACAAGTAAGCAAAATTAAACTTTGTATGTATAAATTTTTAAAGAATAATTATACTTGTAGCACCTTCCATACCCAGTAAACAATCAGCAAGCGAAGATGGTGGCCTGAAATTTATGGATAGCAATTCGGAGATTATAAGACGTATTTCATCTGAAAAACTATCGCAATATGTGGCCAACTTGAGAAGGGTGAGTTAGAGTTGTGCCTTGGCATAGGTTACAGCGTGATTGTCACTTCAGGAACTCACATGTTTAATAATAAGGTTGCATATAACAAAAATGTGTTGATGAATTATTTTCTCTTTTATTCAGTGGATGTCTGCAACCATTCTGGAGCGTTTAGCTAAAGAAATTAAAAACATAGATGAGTCATTTAAGAATCGTGGATTCGCTGATATGCGTATGGGTGGCATTGGACTGGAGCGCCTAAAGAAAACTGTTGAAAACCAACAATTTGTTAATCAATACATGCCAATGTTGCCATTGATTCTGCCATTTTTGGAAATGTCTAGTAATCAAGAGTATTTAGTACAGCGTATTAAAGGTGCATTAAAACAAAACTTACAAACATTTTAATTACTAGTTTAATGAATTTTTCATATAGATTTGGCAGAAGGCTCTTGCATAGCTGACTACCGTTGGAACTCAGGTGCAGCTTACCATGGTCTAAAATGGGATGAGCATCTACCCACTGATTCGGCTGTAAGCCCACCACCATTATTAACCAAAGTGCACTGTAATAATATACATTTACTGTTTTTTTTTTCAGATATTGTTTCACCTATTTTGCGTTTACATGGATAGTCAACTAATGCCTCTGCCACAAGGTGGTGGTCGCCCCTTCTTCAGTCGTTATGTGATAATAGGCAAGGAGAAACGTTCTGCCAAGGAAACGGTAGCGCTTGTTCAAAATAAAGCACACTGCGCTATACTATGTACGAACCCGCAGAAGCCACGTTTTAATTTCATAAGTGATAAAGAAATTCATACATGCGCCTACGATCGTAATAATCTCTTCTATGTGATCATACAATTTTTAATCTACATGAAGACCCATCAAGAAGGTGCGTTGGAAGGTGTCAATCTTGGTAAAAGCGGCATTAATGTTTTGTGTGTCATCGAAAGCTGAACATCGGATTTAGCCAAGTAATTTTTACGCTTTCCTCACTCATACTCATACATATGTAAGTCGTAAGCATTATTATAATATGAATACAATTACACTTAAGTAACTAATTAAGACTTGACATGTGGATTGAATTAAATCTTAGACTACATTCTAATTTGTTAACAAAAAATATAAGTTTCTACGGTTTTAAAATTAAGTTATTGAGAGCTGATTAAGGCCGTTTTAACAGTATGGCTTAATCGCACAGTCTCGACTCGCAGTACAAAAATTTGAAGTTAGTTGCCAAACAAGTGTTAACTCGCACTGTAAAAATGGTCTTAAATGAGACCTATGTAGCCAAATATAAGCTTGAGGTTATTATTTTTTTTGGTAAGAGTAGAAAAGTAAGAATGCTTCATGTGAATCTGAATATTAAAAGCTGCTGAATGAGAATGAAACCAAGAAAGCAATTTTGAAGACACATGAGATTACTTACACTCGCACGTAAATATGTACGTACTACTTACGTATGTCACGCAAAAATTCGTAGTAGCAATAATTTTGCAAGTAGTTTTCGCGTAAACTTTTAATTAAAGAGATTTACTGATTTATATCGCAAATCCATGGTACATTCTTTTGGACATTAATCGTTTTTGTGCTGCGGATTTATCGTGTCACTGGAGTGATTTGTGGCTGAAATACAGCGCGCAATGCCGCAACAGCAAAAGGCAGATGCATACCAAATACAATCATGCAACATATATACATAAATGGAAAGTGGCTGAAGGTAAACTAAATTGTTGTGTAGCATAATAAAATAAAGCGTTGTTAAAGTGGTAACAGTGTTTTAAGGGAAGGAAAATGAAAAGAAATTTTTATTTCTATAAATATATATATTTTCTCAATTACCTAAGATTTGTTAAAAATAAGGACTTGAGTTTCGGTCACTTATTTGGTTATTATATTTTTTATTCAGTTTACAACAATAAGATACCAACACACAGATAACCTGATAACCAGGTCATTGACGAGACGGAGCTTCATCTGCCTCGGGGGACTAGAACCACAATAGCCCAACTTCGCTCTGGCTACTGCAGCAGGTTAAACTCATACCTGAGCAGACTAAACGCAGATGTCCGGCATGCAAAGAGACACCCCATGACTCGAAAGATCTTTTTTCGTATGCCCGGAAAACCCGATAACTCTAACGCCTTTGTCCCTGTGGACCGACCCTATTGTTGTTGTTGTTGTAGCAGCATACAAATTCCCCAAAGACTTTTTGGGGAGTGTTGCTGGAGTGACAGTCCTTGGCCAGATATAAATCTGGGTCGTTCCGGTTACGTAGACCCGACTGTCGTGGGAACGACCGACCCTATTGGGGCTGCACGCTGTCGTTCCCACGACAGTCGGGTCTACGTAACCGCAACGACCCAGATTTATATTTGGCCAAGGACTGTCACTCCAGCAACACTCCCCAAAAACTCTTTGGGGAACTTGTATGCTGCTACAACAACAACAACAGGCTGCACGTTTCTTAGGGCTACCGTTAGTGGAACTTGACAACGACTGAGATATTAACCGATCTGGCTGATAACTGTAAACATAAAAAATGAAATAGTTACGCCGATTATATTTCCAACCTATGGGGTGCTTATATGAGGCAATTTTACTGGCAACTTTCAATTGAAAGCAAAAATCACCTAATGTGAGCGGCCTTTCAAGAAATTGCTTCCAATGAAGTTGGGGGGCTGGAAAATGCTTTATTTGCGGGAAACCAGGTCACTTTTCCCGCGAATGTAGGACAGGTTCCCACAGGTACAACAATTTAGCAGCACGCAAACGCAGGGTTGAAGAAGATTAACAAAACTTCAGTCAGTCTAGACAGCAAATAGGGCGCGCGCTGGAGTCCGCCATTGAATTCCCCATAATCTTCGTCTAACAAGTTGGAAGGAAAACGAGCAACCTCACCAATGGTGAATGTGCGAATGGGCATGAGCGCGTGCTGATAGTGGATTCTTTAGGGTCACATTCCATTATTCGACCTTGTGATACCATTACCTGGAGCGAGGTTCCAGACTGCAACTGGCGAACGCACCGAAATATTAGGAAAAGTATCCTGCGTGGCAATAATCGGAAATGTGGTGGAAATGAAGTCATCATTGGTGTGGATTTCCTACTCGGGCAAGACATGAAGAGCGACTTGATGAACAGGATCCTGATATCGCTACAGGGAAGTGTCATATAGGGTTGATTACGATAACCAGTATTGCTGCAAACGGTTGCTCTTAGAAGAAACCCAGCAGGCTCCACCAAGTGCAGAAGCGGTTAGTTGGGCAGACATTGACAGTGATGAAGACGGGAGTTGTTTCGACAGGAGAGTGAAGCTGTTCAGCGATACAGGAAAATAGTGAAAGGGAGAATGCCCAATCTCAAAGGCATACTGGACACAATGGGATAATTTGAAGCTGATATCTGGTTGCTTGCATCGGATATGGGAAAGCGAACAAAAGTTCCGGACGTTCTCAGCGAGTTCCACAGAGGTCCGAATGGAGAGCAGCTAGGAATCAAGAAAACCCGAAAGTGGATTAAGAAGAGATTTTATTGGTTCTTTTTGGTTGTTTGTGTTTCCGACAGGGTAGGAGTATGATGTATTGTGGAACGATTTTCCGTCATCCCTTGTCAAATTTGGTTTGGAGACAAACTGGTTTCGGCGTTGTGCCATCCTCAGTGTCATTTTACCGTCAGCAAAAAAAGTATTGAAAAAATCAACGTGATTTTGTAGCGCCTTGATATCTGCACTTTAACCTACTACACCTTAATGGGCTATATAACTGCATACCTGAAATTTTCTAAAAATTTTTAATAAGTTTTAAATTTTTAGGTGTAATTGTTAAAGTTTGTTGAATTTTTATAATTTTTGTAAGAAGTTTGGCATGGGCAATTCCAGCGAAGACACATCTCAGATAAAAAAATAAATTACATAAATTGTGTTTAAATCTGTAAAAACAATAAGGCAGGTAGAATAATAGCCCAATTCTGTATCGGTGATAAAAAAATTTCACTGACAGATTTAAACTCTTTCATATATTTTTCCGTAATAAAAACTGTGGCAAGAATTTGCCAGTGATACAGAATAGAGCCGTAAATCTTTAGATTTTTATCCATTTATTTTTCACCATTTTATAAATGCATATATGTATAATATACTGTAATATGTTTGCATCAAGTTTTCAAGGCATTCCTCGTCTACTAAAGGTGGCAATGCAAAAAATAATTATCCAAAAAGAAAGAAAAATGAATGAGCGACAAGTTATTAGAAAATACATTTTCGGTGAGAAGTTATACGCGTTCAAAAAAATGCTTATTGGATGTCCCACCTTTCACGGCAAAATATGTGTTTTTTTTACGTAACATACAAATTCTTAAGTTTCCCCATTTTTTAAATGAGATCCCGCTATTAAAAATATAATAAATATGTGTCCTCAAAGGTGACTCGTCCTTCCTGTAACAAAATGTTGTCCCACCCGTCACAAGCAAAAATAAGTTTTTTTTTTTCTTTAATTTTAAAATATAAAAAATGCCATTAAAAGATAAAATGGGTCTAACATTCTACTAACTAAACTCGAGAAAGTAGCTATGAAGGAAATATTTATAGTTTGTCTAAAATTGGGAAACAGTTCCAACAACTCAGAGAAGCGGGTGTCGTCGTTGTCCCAGTCATCACGCTTGGAAAATGTTAAATTTCTGTGTAAATTACTATGTAATTAAATTTTATACTACATCAGCTTCGTTTGAAACTAAAATCTGACGTCAAGTGTTAACAGTTTGACACTTGTCAAATCAATGGTTAAAGAGAATTTACTAAAATTTTGAGCAAAAACGAGTTAAAATGTCCAAGCCGTCACTTTGGAATGCCCCACATGTGGATTTATGTGGGGCCGGTTATGTAATGTGCTAGACTTTTATAAAAATAAAAAAATATAAACATTACATAGACACTAAACACTATCAGCTGATTGCCAAAAAATGCCTACAGCTGAGATCACCTGTATTTTGGCATTTGCTCTTATCGTTTACAGTTTCTTCCATTTCTATTACAATTTATTCAAAATACCCTAACACCAGAGGTCGAAAATATCCCTCTCCACTTTGAAAGTGTCCCAAAATAACCGTCACTATTTAAGAGAAAAAATAACCCACCAAACAGAAGAGGTTACGTATCTTTGTTTTTAACCGACTTCCAAAAAAGGAGGAGGTTATCAGTTCATCGGAATATACATGAACCAAAAATACAAGATCACGCGGGCGGGAGAGTAGCCCGTTGGAATCGCATTTAAATAAAAAAGTTTAACGATTTTGACATTAGCCGTTTGTTTACATTTCTTCGTTGTTTACAATTTGGTGGTGGCTTTTTACTGCAATTTTCTTCATTTTCGCCTGTGACAACGTGTGTACACATAAGATAAAGAATAATTTAACACAACGGCATTATTTATAAAAGAATTTGCGTAATAAAAATGATTATTCATGCGTTCAACAATTTCGCGGTTTTCTTCGTTCTCTTCGTTGTTTACTTCTTACAACAAAGATGGCGTCGAGATTTCGGCAGCTGGAAAATAACTTTTTTCATTCTTTCCTTCCCGCGTGATCTTGTGTCTTTCGTTCACGGGAATATATATGTATATATATTTTTTTTATGTATGTTACCGCATAACTCTGGACCACGTTAACCGATTTCAATAATTCTTTTTGCATCGGAAAAGTAGTGTCTCAGAGGTGGTCCCATGGTTTAGATCCGATCATTAGATCATGAAATATTTATATATATATATTTTTTTTAAGTCGTTTTTTTTTGTTAAAAATTACTTGTTTATATGAGAATTGACTTCGGTTTTTTTTTGCTAAAAATTATTTTTTATTTTTTTATTTTTACCTTTGCCTTTATCCCTTTCTCTATCAATAAAATAAAATAACTTATTTTCGGTGTATCATACTATGAATGTGCTAGCTCTCTTCTTTGTCATAAATATTCGCACATGTATGTGTACTAGGGTGGTCCAAAAACAGTCAAGTCGGAATTGTAATACTCTCACCCTAGGATTGTTCTATATCGAAAAAAGTATACCCCTATTTTTTTATTTGGAAATTAAAAAATATCTAGACGTCGCTCAAAGCGCTCAAAGTTGTATTTTTATATGGGGAAAAACAACTTTTCGTAGAAATGGTATAGAATTCTTGAAAATCAATATTTTTCGATCGGAAAACTCTGGTTCTCTTTGGGAGACTTTCAATAATGATACCCATTTGTTTATTTAACCATTTTTCAATACTACCGATTTTTTATTGGTCCGCCCATTGTGGGTTTTGGCGGAAGAAAAAAATGTTAAATTAGCTATTGGGCATTATTACTGGGAATCTCCTGCAGATAAATAGAGTTTTCCGATATAAAAATATTGATTCTTAAGAATTCTATACCATTTCTACGAAAAGTTGTTTTTCCCCATATAAAATACATGGAAAACTTTGGACGCGCTGAGCGACCTCTAAGTATTTTTTTATTTCAAAATAAAAAATAGGGGTATATTTTTTCGGTATAGAACAATCCTAAGGGGTGAGAGCATAAAAATTCCGACTTCACTTTTCCACATGCATTTTTGGACCACCATAATGGGTGCATATATGTCGTGTAAAGAAATACCTAATGCTTTGCTTCCACTTATGTACGCCCACTTATATTTTTCATTCTTACAATAACCCACAAATTAAGACACTTAAAAATAAAAGTTCCTGCCAAAGTTGCAGTTTGCCTAAGGATAATTTCAGCAGTTGATAAATAACCCACAACGGAAAA